AATAGCACCTTCTTATAATGAATCAACCAGTTTGTTTGTTGACATCCAGAGCTAGCTGTTCACATGATGAAGGAGGACCATCAGCCTAACAATCGATCATTAGTGCCCTGATGGCTGCTTGCTATTCACAGAGGGCTGAGTGATACTAGCAATAACAGCACTGTAAGAGGGGGACAGTTGGACACGGAGGCTTCACTCCTGTTTCATGATGGACGTCATTTTTCATTTACTAAATAAATTAAGCTTCTTATGTTTGTGTACGCTTGAAATTGAACAAATTTAGAATCTATCTGTTTTATGATGTCCTGATACTGAGAATTGAAAAAAGTGAACTGTGTTTTCTATCCAAACTATGTTCAGTACTTGAATGAAGAATCAGGGAGATTAATGCCAAATCAACCAGAAAGAACCAGATTTCTTATTATTGTTCACACAGAGCAAACAGGTCTGTTCGATATGAGGAAGCTTCAGAAGTGGGACTTGTCGCGGTCATGATCATTAATCAAAAACAAAATTCAGTTTTAAAGCCTCAAGGTCTTAGTCATTGTTTGGTTTTCCTTTTTTTAATCGTCTTTGGTCCCAACACAAGATTCGGGCTCCTGTGAGAAACTTTAGCTTCAACTTGATAGCTGCCAATTAAAATAATGTTCCAGATTAATCCTAAATTAGGTGTTTTATTGTTGCACGTTCTCTTGTTTTGCAATTTTATGTGACTCATTTGTGTTTTAGCCTTCCGTGATGCCTTCAAGTGTTCCTCTGAAACAGCCGATTTATTTGGGACATGGAAATGAGACCTGTGGGGATGTAATAAAGCGTCGGGAACCAGCACTTCAGCCACAGATTTTATGGTTTTAATGGGTTGGAAGCTGGGGCCTTTGTGCATTTTGGTACTTTTTTATTTCTTTCTTTTGTATTTTTTAATGTAAATGCCGTTCTTATGATATTGACTAGAATCACATCTTTGTTTTATGCTTAGTGACATGCTCTTGTGTAGTGTCAGCAACTTGTTGACAAGTTGCAGATCTTGAAATATTGAACAAAAAGACAGTTTGGAGTGGAAATTGAAAACCTTCCACTTGAAGGTTTCTAAACAAACAAACCGTTGTCAAAGTCTTAATAATTTTTTTTTATTTGGTGTCTAGATTTTGTAACTACTGATTCTGCTTTTATTGCTGTATTGTTTTGAATTAGATTATTTCCATGTGTGATTAATTAAATTAAATTGGAATAATCTAGAAAATTTTGAATTACATGCCACTGTATTAATTTTTAATTGAAGTGAATTGTAATAAACATGGATTATATGAGTCATAATATTTTGGATAGAGATTTAAATAATCTTTTTGACTGCACTTGATTAGATTAAATAGGAATAAATAAGATCAAACTGCCTTCAACTCTTTTATTTGTCTTGAAATATTAATCAGTGATTTGGATTTTGTGTAGATTGAAATAAACTACAATAACTGGACAAAGATCCTGACTGCTCAGTGTTTGGATTGAATGAAATTAGTCTGTACTGATTTGATCAAAGGTAAAACTGCCTTTTCTGTTTAAACCTTGAATTCACTTGTTTGATGCACTGTCTTGAACTGAGCATGACAAAATGGCAACTGTTGTTGCCTTAGAGCAAGAAGGTTGCCAGTTCACATCCTGATCTTTCTGGGTTCAGAAAGGCACCAGATTCCCAATGAACAGGAATGGAAAAAGCATGAAAAGAAAAAAAAAAAAAACAATACATAGATGGGAGTCTTGAAATGGTATAAATTATCCATCCATCATCTTTTATCCTCTTATTCCTTTTCGGGTCACGGAGTCACTGGAGCCCATATCCAGAAGTCTCTGTGCGAAAGGCAGGGGACACCTGGATAGGTCTCCAGTCCATCACAGGGACACAAAAGTGACTTTTGGATATGAGTACCAGTGACCCCCGTGATCAAAAAAGGAAGATGTGATTAAAGATAATGGATGATGGATGGATAGATGGATGGATGGAACTGAACAAAAATGTGTTAGTATTGTGCACTGACTTTTGTAGTGAACTAACACAAACAAATATAACTGAAGTGATGTGACGTTCACAATCTGAATATGAATCTTCTGACCGGCTCTTTACAATGAATGATGGGAATCGAGTTGTCATTCCTGTTTTATTTTTTTCCTTTTGGTAATGTTCTGTTTACATTATATAATCTTTTTTTTAATATTATATTGCTGCAAATTTTCCACAATGTTTTATATAAAAATGAATTGAATTGAAATAGTTTGAAAGTGTGACACAAAAAATAGTTGAACCCAGAGTATATAATGTAATGTAAAGTGCTGGGATGTGTCGAGATGTGACAATAAGTGGAACTGGATGGGTACATTTCATTTTGTCTGCAAAGTTTTATTTTTATATTTAACCTTTATTTATACAGGTAGTCTCATTGGGTCACGGGGACTCATTTTCAAGAGAGACCTGTTCCAGACAGAACATATAAAATACAGATAACAATAAACAATAATAGCAAACTACAGAAAAAATGCAGCAAAAATAAAAGTAGTTATAAAACAATAAATCAGGGTGCTGTTAAAAAAGTAATACTAAAAACAAGGACACATTTGCTTTGATGTTTCTATTGACATTATCAAATGTTTTAAATCCCCTTAAAGAAATTAAAGTGGACAACTTCAGTTCCTTGTCTTGTTCACGGATGAGGGAAAAATGGAGCGTGAGATCGATAGGCGGATAGGTGCAGCGTCGGCAGTGAAGCGGGCGCTGTACCGGTCTGTCGTGGTGAAGAGAGAGCTGAGTCAAAAGGTGAAGCTCTCAATTTACCGGTCTATCTACGTTCCTACCCTCATCTATGTTCATGGTTGTGACCGAAAGAACGAGATCTCGGATACAAGCGAACGAAATGAGTTTTCTCCGCAGGGTGTCTGGGCTCTCCCTTAGAGACAGGGTGAAAAGCTTTGTTATCCTGGAGGGACTCAGGTAGAGCCGCTGCTTCTCCACATCGAGAGGAGCCAGTTGAGGTGGCTTGGGCATCTGTTTAGGATGCCTCCTGGACGCCTCCCAGGTGAGGTGTTCTGGGCACATCCCACCGGGAGGAGACCCAGAGGAAGACCCAGGACACGCTGGAGGGACTATGTTTCTTGGCTGGCTTGGGAACGCCTTGGGATTCACCCGGAGGAGCTGGTCCAAGTAGCTGGGGAGAGGGAAGTCTGGGCCTCCCTACTTAAGCTGCTACCCCGCGAACCGACCCCGGATAAGTGGAAGAAAATGGATGGATGGATGGATGGATGGATGGATGGAACTTCAGTTCCTGTTGCAAGGTGTTCCAGGTTGCAGGAGCTGAGTAGGAAAAGGCCTTTTTGCCAAGTTCAGTCCACATTGAGGGAACGCTGCAGGTAATGATGGCCTGAGAGTGCATGTTGTAACTGCACTGACGACTTGACAAGTGGGAGGAGATATATGAAGGCAGCAGACCAAGGAGAGATTTATAAATGAAAATGAACCAGTGTAAGAGCCTACGTGTAGATAATGATTACCAACTGACCACTGAGTACAGGGTACAGTGTTGGGTACAGTAGTTACAATCAGTAATGAGTATTAGTGTGCCATGGTAGACAACATCCAACATCTGCAAGCAGCTGGCAGGGGCATTCATGTAAATAATGTCACCATAGTCAATGGCCGGTAGGAAGTAAATGGTAAATGGTAAATAGACTGTACTTATATAGCGCCTTTCTATCTTATCAAGATACTCAAAGCGCTTTACACTACAATCTGTGCCTCATTTACCCATTCACACAGCACTCAACTAGATCTCTACAAAGCTAATTTAACAAATCATTCTAAAGAGACTAATCGGTGCTTTAGATCACATTCATTCACCGATGGGAAACACATCAGAGGCGATGAGGGGTTCAGAGTCTTGCCCATGGACACTTCGGCATGTGACTGCTGGTGGATTCGAACCCCCAACTCTTGCATTGGAGGACGACTGCTCTAACAACTCAGCCACAGCCGCCCTGTGGCCTAAGTACCGAAGTAGCGGTTACAAGATGTTTTCTGGCATTCAGAGTTAAGCAAGATCTATTTCTGAAAAAGAAACCCAGTTTTAATTTCAGTTTCTTTATCAAGTTTTCAATGTGTGGTTTAAAAGAGAGATGTGCATCAACATTCCCAAGTATTTGCAAGAATCTACAAACTCAATAGGAACACCATGCATGGATGAGATAGGAGGAAGGCTTGCTGGCACCAACTTCCTATTGGAAAACAACATCCCTTTGGTTTTGTCAGCATTTAGCACCAGCTTGAGATGGAATAAGTCTGACTGAATGATGTCAAATGCAGACTGTAGAAGCTGGAAAACCTTGGCAACTGTGTTAGCTCGGCAATAAACAACAGTGGAAGACCTGAAAGACCTCTTGATAACTGAATAGGATGTCCCACAGTCCACAGACACGACGGCATTCCCGTTGGCTCTTTTTTCCTCAGATAATTACAGACACTCACTACAGAAGTCTAATTTACATAACGCTGCATTTGGAAAGGCTGCACCTTTTATCTTTTTGCCCGTGTTCATTCTATTTGTTTGCTTGTTCTCATTGCCTGTTTGTCTGCCTGTGTTCAAATGCTTACACACACACGTACAAACACACACACACACACCAGCTGTTTGATCAAGACATGAGTGACAGTCCAATCCTCTGATGAGCTTTGAGTAGATGAGGCATGTCAGCACTGTGATCGCGCTGTGTGCTTTGGTGTTGGAGAAAGGTCGGATGTGTTGATCGTATGCAAGAGAGAGGAGCCCGAATTGATTTGTCATATTTGAAAAGTGTGCAGTCATCGGCACATTCCCTGTTGCACATATGACAAAGCAGGTGTCGATGCTGTAGTCATCAGAACATCTTTCTGGCAATATTCAGGATATCATTAAATATTGCATTAAATATTGCCTACATGTTCTTATTTTTAACAGTTTTTGCCACTGTTTCTGTTTCTCCAGCCTGAAGAGCTTACCAACGCCCTGGAGATTAGTAACATTGTCTTCACCAGCCTGTTCTCCCTAGAGATGCTGCTGAAGATTTTGGTCTATGGGCCTTTTGGCTACATCAAGAACCCTTACAATATATTTGATGGGATTATTGTGGTGATCAGGTAAGAGACCGTGCAAAGAAAAATTATAAACATAAAGTGATACATTTACTTATCTGTGCTTCACTGAAAAGACCCATCAGCCATTACAGAAATGTGGACTTTGAATTGGAATGTGGAATTTGAATCCAAACTGGGAATACTTTTAACAACAAGTAATACAAATAATTGCCCCTGTTATATTTACCTGCTTCTTCTGTTTTGGGCCACGGGGGTCACTGGTACCCATATCCAGCTATCACTCCGGGGAGGCCAGGGACACCCTGGACAGGTCTCCAGTCCATCAAAGGGACACCTGGACAGGTCTCCAGTCCATCAAAGGGACACCTGGACAGGTCTCCAATTCATCACAGGGACACCTGGACAGGTCTCCAATTCATCACAGGGACACCTGGACAGGTCTCCAGTCAATCAAAGGGACACCTGGACAGGTCTCCAGTTCATCACAGGGACACCTGGACAGGCCTCCAGTTCATCACAGGGACACCTGGACAGGTCTCCAGTCAATCAAAGGGACACCTGAACAGGTCTCCAGTTCATCACAGGGACACCTGGACAGGTCTCCAGTTCATCACAGGGACACCTGGACAGGTCTCCATTCCATTACAGAGACACATAGAGACAAATAACCATTAGATCTTTCTCTCACCTAGGGACAATTTAGTTACCTATCAGCCTAACATGTATGTTTTTGGTCTGTGGGAGAAAACCAGAGTACCTGGAAAAAACCCACACAGCACTGAGAGAACATGCAAACTCCATCCAGAAAGGCCCCTGGCCGGGATTTGATCCAGGGCAACCTGCTTGCTGAGAGACAGCAGCTTTACCAACTGTGCCACCGTCTTGCCCGGAAATAGTTGTGTCATTTAAAAGTCGTATAACACCTCAGTTTGTGTCGGGGAGTAGACCGGCTTTAAATTTTCCATCCCTACTGCACACACACTGATTCTTAAAATAGAACATCAAGTTATGAATACAATTTTCACAAATGGAAGAACATGAGACAATGTGTTTTTATGGTGAATGGTAAAATTGTGCTCATTAAAGGAAATGTAATGTTCTACTTCAATGTTCCACTTGTTTCTCTGTTCTTTTTGTCTATTTTTGGTAACTGATGTAGTATATTTTATAGAGACTCTTTATTTCACTATTATTCTAAGAAATAGTTATATTAGGAAAAATATGCTATCCAATATTCTGATACTAAAAATCGCATAATAAAAACTTGTTTTCTTTTAAAATGAACTGCCCCCTTTAACAGCAACAATTCTCAAAATAATTATTCATCCATGCTTGATGATTGAATCTATGGAGTTTGTACATTCATTCATCTAGTTATCACCCTTTTATATGTATTTATTTACTTTTATTTAACCAAGCTAATTTGACATAGTTGATCCTTTTAATGGTTGCTTGGAGCTAGTAACTGTCTACAGCAGACGTTGGGTGAGAAGAACGGTGCACAGATCCCTGACTTGTTCAGCTGCCATGTATGTCAACCATTCATACTCACACTCACATCTAGAGGCAACAGTTGCCTCAACCTAACATGCATGTATTAGACTGGTAAGAAACCAAAGTACCCAGAGACTGAGCACACATGCAATGGGAGAGCATGCAGGAACTTCTTGTTGTATGGCACCAGTTCTAACTGTGCTACCGTACAGACTAATTGTGCTGGCACAGCAGTTTTGATGTTGAGTCACTGGAGAATGGCGTATAAAAGGTTTAAATATTCATCACAGTCAAGACATCAAGATGGCTCGATGTTAGCAGCAGTTATCGCTCCTCTACTTACCAATGGATGTCATTCCTACATAATTTGAACACAGTCATAACTTGTTGCAGAAAGAAACAGATTATGAAAGAAAACCTAGAAGACCCCTATCTAACTCCTCCTGGAGCTCCAGAAAAATATATTTAAATACATCAAATTTAGTTTATCTTCAAGAGTTCTTCTGGACCAGTACAGCGCTTGGACCGGACTGAACTTTAACCTGTATTTACTGACTGATGAGGGAGAGTGACACCAGAGGAAGCCTAATGTTGTTTGTTGTTCAGCTGTTTGCTAAAATTCTCTGTATGTCAGGATATAAGAGTGGTGAGTTTTCCTCACAGTCCCCAACAGACTACATGAGTAAATAAATCCTAATTTAATTACCGGTACTGAAACAAATATAAATGAATGACAAATAAACAAAGTATAAAAAATAAATAAGCAAAAGTGATATGTACAGTACTCATTGTTTACAATGCTAAAATGCTTCCTAAAAATATTAATTCAAGATGTCGTCAGATTTGGGTCCCCAAAGGCTGCAGGTTTGAGCCCTGGTCAGGAAAGGCTTCCCAATTAAAACAATTGCCAAATCTTTTGCATAAGTTTGTTCATTGTGGTGATCCCTGCAAAGGATAGCAGCTGAATGAAAAAGTAATTTCTAAACTGTATTTAAGCAGCCGAAGATGTACATTTTTATATCAGCGTTGCTCTGATTTTCATTTGTGAGATCTCAGCATGCTTAAAAGCAGGAAAGAAAGCAGACATACATGGCAGCTGAACAAGTCGGGGATCTGAAATTACTAGTCTGAGATGTTGAATTTCTGCATTGAGAATCGTTCCTCACCTGTAGACTCTAAAACAACTTGTGTGCGTGTCAAGTCAACTTTATTTATAAAGCACATTCAAAAAAGCAACTGTTACCAAAGTGTGTGTTCTCTTTCTTCAGTGTGTGGGAGATTGTGGGTCAGCAGGGTGGAGGTCTGTCTGTGCTCAGGACCTTCCGGCTGATGAGGGTGCTGAAGCTTGTCCGTTTCATGCCGGCCCTACAGAGGCAGCTGGTGGTGCTGATGAAGACGATGGACAATGTGGCCACTTTCTGCATGCTGCTTATGCTCTTCATCTTCATTTTCAGGTAGACTTGTTTTACCAATACATTAGAACACTAAAGCAAGTTCACCTACAGGAAATCAATCAGCACTGAAACTCTGCTTGAATTAGAATGTTAGATGTGCAAATAAAGGACTAAAGAAATTCATATTAGAAATGCATACTACCTGCCAGCTTTATTTTTAGAATTTCAACCTAGGACCATCTATTAATGAGGAAATAAAGCCATGTTGTTAATTCTTGTTAATAATATCATGCTCAAACTCTTGCAATCTGGCAATATTTTGCAAACTGCATTAGAACTCAATGTATGAGTTTGAAATACTTTATAGTAGCGACCTCATCACAAATTGTCAAAATCAAATACATTGTGTTAAAATTATAGGTCTTTTTTTCTTGGCTACTGTCGATTAGCTCTGACAGGACTCCAAAAATATGAGTTTTAGAAGTGCAATGAGTGAATAATTTCTGAGAGTCACTCAAAACTACTCAGTCGTTCATGAGATATTTGGCTAACAGACAGACATACAAATAAACATGGCCTTTTTGCCTTTGGTGACATACAATATGAGTCCTTTTTCTCCACATGTGTCAGGAACTATTGTGATGTTGTAATCTTCTTGCCCAGGAAAGGAAACATGTTTTTCCACAAATGTGTTCTAAGTATTGGAGCATTCTGCTGCAGTTTGCATTTCAGAAACATTTGGAATGAGATGCATGTATGTGCTGACACATCATGCTCCAGAACACACACGTATTCAAATAAACACAAAGTTCCAGTCTTGTATATACAATGATAAACATGCATGGGTGTGAGTGAAGGGTTGCCAAGTGAACACAGTGGAGGTTTGTGCATTGATCTCTCTGCTCTAGTTGAGCTTTAGTGTCTGTGTCTCCTAATAAAAGGCAGACTGCAAAGCATAATCACAACTGAAAAAAATCTGAAAAAAAAACAATGTATAGAGTCTTTGGCTTTGGATAGAACCAGTCATCATGAAAGGCAACTGCTAATGTATTTACATCATGCTTGTGTATGCCTGTTTTTATGCTTTTTTTGGTCTGATTTTTAGCAAAATAAGTAATCATGATCTCAAACGTAAACAGTATATGTTCATGTAAAAATGAACACATTACTTGAAGGAATGCTAGATTATCAAGCAGAACAGAACAGAAAAAGCATAGAAAATGTAGGCCCATACTATGTTTGCTGTGTTACCATTTAAACAAACATTTGTCTTTACTGTGATGGCAGTGATTATTCTACAACTAAAATTATAATAATTTCTTACAAGTGCAAGATAAACTATAGATCTGGTATGGATTTGATTTTCATTTTTAAAGGCTGAGACATTCTGTTTGTTAAAGGTTTGTGTTCCTGTACAGTTTTCATTAACCTTCTCTTCAATAAAACATATATGAGCATCCATTTTTCCAGTTGGACATGCCCAAGAACCTCCTGGGGAGAGGCCCGGGTAGCATCCTTACCAGATGCCCGAATCACCTCATCTGGCTCCTCTCAATGTGGAGGAGCAGTGGTTCTGCTCAGAGTCTCTCCCAGATATTTGAACTTCTCATCCTATCTATAAGGGAAAGTCCAGCTACCATGCTGACGAAACGCATTTTAACTCTCCATATTTGCAATCTCATTCTTTCGGTTACTACCCAGAGTTCATGGCCATAGGTGAGGGTAGGAACGTAATGGTGGGAACGTAGACCTACTGGTAAGCAGAGCGCTTCGCCTTACAGCTCAGCTCCCTCTTCACCACAACAGACTCGCACAGAGTCTGCAATACTGCAGATGCTGCACCAGTCTGTCAATTTCACGATCCATTATTCCACCACTCGTGAACAAGACCCCAAGATACTTGAACTCCTCCACTTGAAGCACAACCTCACCCTCGACCTGAAGAGAGCAATGCACCCTTTAACGACTGAGAACCATGGCCTCAGATTTGGAAGTGCTGATCCTCATCCTAGCTGCTTAAAACTTGGCTATGAACCTTTCTAGTGACAGCTGGAGACAACAGCACGATGACGCCAAGAGGACCACATCATCTGCAAATAGCAGATATGGAATGCAAAGTTGACAAAGTTGTGTAACCCAAGACAGCCCCACAACATCCAGAGCCTTAAAGAAATCAGGGCCGATCTCATCCACCCACAGAGCCCTGCCACTGTAGAGCTTTTTAACTTTCTTCGTGACCTCTGCTACGGTTATGGACAGACCAACCCTAAAGTCCCCTTACTCGGCTTCCTCCATTCAAGTTGGGCCAGTGGGATTGAGAAGGTCTGAAAAATATTCCTTCCACCTATATTATATTATTATATCAATATTATAGGCAGAAACATGGGTGTGCTATGGGGTCTCCAGTTTCTCCTATTGTTGCCAACCTGTACATGGAGGAGGTAGAAAAGAGAGCCTTGACGCCCTTTTCAGGGACACCACCAAGTCATTGGTTCAGGTATGTTGATGACACCTGGGTTAAAATTAAATCTCAGGAAGTCCAACATTTTACTGACCACATCAACTCTGTGGATAAATACATCAAGTTCCACGAGAAGATGTAAAAAATGACAAGTTGGCTTTCTTGGACTGTGAGGTCTCAGTCTCTGATAGAGGACATTTGCAAACCGAGGTGTACCGCAAACCCACCCACACAGACCAGTATTTGCAGTTTGACTCCCATCACCCTTTGGAGCACAAGTTAGGAGTCATCAGGACTCTGTATCACAGAGCAGACAGCATCCCCACTAGCTCAGGAGCCAGGCAGAAGGAGAAATCCTACACAAAACAGGCTCTAGAGCAATGTGGATATCCTAACTGGGCCTTCCTGAAAGCAGAGAAGAAACCCAAACAGGACTCCAGTCAGCCATCAGGTGAAAAGGAGGAACCCAGACCCAGACCAGTGGTCATTCCATATGTTGAGGGAGTATCAGAGAAACTGAGACGTTTATTTTCTAAACATAACGTCCCAGTGGCTTTTAAACCCCAAAATACATTACAGCAAAGACTGGTTCATCCCAAAGATCCAGTCCCCCGGCACAAACAGAGTAATGTTGTGTATGCTGTTCAGTGTCAGGAGGGCTGTGATCAGTCTTACATCGGGGAAACTAAACAGCCACTGGCCAAAAGAATGGCCCAGCACAGAAGATCAACATCATCAGGCCAGGACTCTGCAGTCTACACTCATCTCCAGGCCAGCGGTCACTCTTTCAGGGATGAAGATGTTCACATCCTGGACAGAGAGGAACAATGGTTTGAGAGAGGAGTAAAGGAGGCCATCTTCGTGAAAATAAACCGTCCATCATTAAACAGGGGTGGAGGCCTCCGGGTTCAATTGTCCCCCTCTTACAATGCTGTGATTGCTGGTATCACTCAACCCCCTTTGAATAGTAAACAGCCATCAGTGTGCTAATGATCCATTGTTAGGCTGATGGTCCTTCTTGACCATGTGATCAGTTGGTTTTGGTTGTCAGCAGCAAACTGGTTGATCCACTCTGAGAAGGTGCTATTTAAGAGACTGAGCTGAAAACAGCAGCTCAGACTGAGGAAGTCTCTTGGATGAGAGATGAAACGTTTCTACATTTTTTTTTGCTTTGTTTTTTTTTTTTTTTTTTTTTCAATGTCCAGAGGACCAGATTGAACTTTCTTGGATTTTTCTACCTGGATTATTGAGCATGCATCAGGATATTCCTTCCACCTCTTGAAAACATCATTGGTTTAGGTCAACTGCACCCCACCTTCACTGAACACAGTGTTAATAAAGAGCTGCTTTCCTCTCCTCAGCCACTTAATATTTTTCCAGAATCTCCTTGGAGCCAATAAAGAGTCTTTATCCAAGGCCTCACTAAACTCTAAAATATTACCAATTAGATCCACTTTAATCAAGTCTACTTAGCAAATTGATTAATTTAATTGTCCTGAATTTAAGAACTTGGTTTGATGTAATCTTTCATTCTGCCTTTTGCTGTTTGTTTCTTCCCATCTCTCCCTCCACTCACTCTTCTCATTCCAGCATCCTGGGGATGCATTTGTTTGGTTGTAAGTTTGGCTCAGAACGAGATGGAGACACCTTGCCAGACAGAAAAAACTTTGACTCTCTTCTGTGGGCCATAGTGACTGTTTTCCAGGTAAGCATGCACCATGCAGATGTTTATCTAACAATGATTTGGAACAAAATTTAGTTGCACATGAACCTAAAGTTACACAAACTTATTGACACTCTCATTTCTTGTATCTCCTTTCATTTTCAAGCCAGTCTTTTGTAAATCATACTCTTTAAAAAAAGGGGTAATTGCATTGTTTTATGAGTTTTTTGAGGGGTCAAAATAAATTTAAAGAAAATGATATCCAATATTGTTGTTCAACCATCGTGCGACTTAGTTCGCTGTGGCGACCCCTAACACAGGAAGCAGCTGAAAGGAGAAAAAATAAATAGATTGTGATTCAACCATCATTACAGCCATGGCGCTTTGTAATAGGTGCCAGTTTTGTCAGAAAGTGTTAAGGGATACATTCTGGTAGGACTGAGACACTCATGGAACATCAAATCATTAGAAAATACAGGCTCAAAAACTGTTCGGCTTGTTAGTATTCTGCCTGATAAAAAGGATTCATTCAGCACCAAATTGCTTTTAATAAAAATTGTACTGGTTTGAGTGGTGGTAGTATCGAGGCAACATGTGCTTATTTACTCAACATACTTGATCTATTTTACTTTATTATGGTTTTATTTAACAACAACAACTATTATTATTATTATTACAAAGTATTATATTCATTATTACATATCAATACTGCTACTACTACTACTACTACTACTACTACTACTACTACTACTACTACTACTACTAATAATAATAATAATAATAATAATAATAATAATAATAATAATAATGTAGTGGTAAATGAACTGTATTTATATAGCGTCTTTCAATCTTATCAAGATATTGAAAGCTATTTACAACATAATCTGTGTCCTCATTTCCCCATTCATGCAGCACTCTACTAGATCTATACAAAGCATAATCAGTGCTTTATCACTTTCGTACACTGATGGGACACACATTGGAGGCAATGAGGGGTTCAGTGTCTTGCCCAGGGACACTTTGGCATGTGACTTCTGGTGGAATCAAACAACCAGCTCTTGCATTGGAGGACGACTGTTTTAACCACTCAGCCACAGCTGCCCATAATAATAATAATAATAATAATAATAATAATAATGTTGTTTGTTGTTGTTGTTGTCATCATCATTGTTATTGTTATTATTATCTGACAATGTAGTGCCTGCAAGCAATCAGAATTTGATTTTGTTCTATGCTTTTCTACCTTGGTTTTAAAACTTTGACACCTTTAGTAATAGTATAGTGGGATCACATACTCTACAGACACATAGGTTGTGTTTTTTTATTTTACATTTAACATTTACCTATAAACTGGATCAACACAAACAAGTATTCAGTTCAGGATGATAAACATTACAAAACCGATGACAGGACAATTGTTTCTGTATTTTAAATATTGGGTATTTTTTTGAGAGTCATTTAGCCATGCTCTTAAATTATTAGTTTTATTTTAGGTTCAAACTAAATACACACATCTATTCCATGTTTAAACTAGTAAATCTAACTGTTTTTTGTTTGTTTTTACATAGGGTTTTATGAAAAATTTATGAAGAAATAATGTGATAGATAACAACAAAAAAGGTTAAATCTTGTCTTCTGGACCAGTTTCTTTAAATATGAAACATTATAGATGTTTTGTTATACATAGGTTTTGTTATACATAGTTTTGTGGATGGAAATTTGAGTTTATAAATGATAGGACCCATGAGCTAATATTTACTTGAAACCCAGCTAAAACGTACTGGTACATGTACTTAAAACAGTTTCGATCTCCAGCAGTCTATATTGATTAATTCAACTATTATGTAGCTCTTTTTGCACTGTCATTAATGTAGTAATACATGGCTATTTCTAAAGAACTTTGTAGCTTTTTGCAAGCAAAATTAGCAACAACAAGCAATGACACTTCCATTGCTGCTCAGGGTCCATTTCAGGAAGTATTTTGTATTATTTCTGCATTGCATTGATTATTTTGGCAGGATATCGTGATTCCTGCTGAATTTGACCCCAGGCTAAATTACAAGTGCTTCACTTAACTGTTGCTTTTACTTTTTGATTTTATAAATAACCACAGTTCCTTGTACAAAACATGTATGTGATGGACAATTATTGGCAGTTTAACGAGCTACTAAATATATATCAGCATGAACTGCTTCAGTTTTGAGAAAGGACCTATTTTAAAGTGACAGAAATCTACTTGGGTCCAGACTATATCTGCACTAGCCTTGACCTCTTCAGTCCCGTTAGACTAAAGTGTTGCTCCAACCGCACCCTTTTCAAAGAGCTATCTACAAAAAAGCAATATTTTATTGGTTTAGAACTTTTCCACAGAACTCCACCTAAAAATAGCTACAATGCCAATTTAAAATAAGCCAGTAACATGACCACAGAAGCACTGTTATACTCTGTTACAGAGATGGTTGTTTTAATTATCATGGAATTTTTTTTATTTAAACCTTTATTATACCAGGAAAGAAATCCACTGAGATTATTAATCTCTTTTACAAGGATGTCCTGGGCAATGCACAATCGTATTAAAATATTTACAACAAAACATCTGGTAATAAGACACAAAATACAATGTAAGTTTAAAAATATCACAATTTAAGACACTTAAACATTACAGGTGCAATATGTGACTAAAACCTTTGACAGTTTTTGTTTGAAACTAGATAAAGGAATAAAAGACTCTAACCTCAACTTAAGCTGCAGATCATTCCAAGACCATTGGCCAAAATGGGACACGCTCATCTTCCCTGGCTCTGCGCACCAAGGGTACTTTGAACCACAGCCTGGTCCTGAGACTGTGTGTTCTGTAGTGAAATGAACTTGGAGCAGATGTACGATGGTCATGAAATTGAATTAACACTGATGAAGCCACCATCATCTTGCAGAAGTAGATCACACATATCTGAACAAACAATGAGAACAAACCTAATGAAAAGATGGAACAGTTGACAACAATATGCATTAAACACTGAATACTTTTTTCTTCTGATCTGCAATTTCCCAGATTCTGACCCAGGAGGACTGGAACAAGGTGCTGTATAATGGCATGGCCTCCACCTCCCCTGTAGCTGCTCTCTACTTCATTGCACTTATGACATTTGGCAACTACGTCCTTTTCAACTTGCTTGTGGCCATCTTGGTCGAGGGATTCCAAACAGAGGTAAAACACTGATTACCAAACATGGTAAGTGTTACTAAATCTCATTTCACCTAAAACCATGTAAGAAAAACTTTCTGCTTGGGTGAGAAAATTCAAGTCAACTTGGCCTGTTTAGCTTCGAAGTTTGTTTGTTCCAAGAAACCTTTGAGATGAGTTGAGGGCTATTTGCCATATTCTTGGACTGGTGTTTACAGCTGCACACATAAAATTCATGAGGGACCAAGACCTTTATCTTCTGTTGCACTCTTTGCATTAGTTCATGTAAGAGCATGAGATCACTCTGGTGGTTACCCTTCATCTTTATCTCTGTAACACTATTGTCACTTCCCATATTCCCCACCATCCCAGAATTCATCTTCATATTACTCTGCTTATTTGCCAATGCCAAAAAATACAAAACATCAAAATAAATTAGATAGACTAGATTGACTTTCACCCCACGACTCTTAAATTCCCATATAAGCTATACACACACACACACACATATACATATATATATATATATATATATATATATATATATATATATATATATATATATATTTTTTTTTTTTTTTTTTTTTTTTTTTTTTTTTCTTTATTTTTTTTTTATACCAACCTTTTTGAGTTCCTGTGCAGGTTGTTTTATGTTAAAAGAGTGGTATTTTATTTACTACTGTACTTTGCTTGAGATTCTTTTAAGAGACTGAAAAATCTTTGAAAAAGAGCAAAAGATATGGAGGACATTAGATTTATGTTTGAGACAGGCGGCTGAAGAAAACTGTTTAAGTGAAGGCCACAGGAAGAAAAGAGCTTGTCGAGATGCTTTACTATAGTTTTCAACTAACATTTCATTTGATACAGACAGCGTCAAAAAGGAAAAAAAATATTTAGGAAGAATTGAGATAAAAGATAAAAGTGAAACTCACATGAATATCCAGTCATCTCTTCTCTATCTACAGTTGTCTCTTTTCATTAAGGTGTGAAGGCACCGGTGCTTTGATGTCTGACACCCCTTTGATTATGGGCTGAAAGAGTCAGAGAATAGATGTATCTTAAGGAAAGGTTGCTAACTTTGCAAAATACAGAATACATTAAATGGGTCTTTCCAGCTGCACAGCTTACCTAGTATAGAAACATCTAATGTGTTATGGTGAATAATCATATTTATATAAAATACTTTGATTTTCTGTACCAATAACAAATCATTGAATATTTAATAATTTGGGCAGCACGGTGGCGCAACTGGTAGAGCTGCTGCCTCTCAGCGAGCAGGTCCTTGGTTCAAACCCCGGTCCAGGGCCTTTCTGGGTGGAGTTTGCATGTTCTCTCCGTGCATGCGTGGGTTTTCTCCGGGTTCTCTAGTTTCCTCCCACAGACCAAAAACATGCATGTTAGTCTGATTGGTAACTCTAAATTGTCCCTAGCTGAGAGTGAATGGTTGTATGTCTTGTTTGTCTCTATGTGTCCCTGTGATGGACTTGCGACCCGTCCAGGGTGTACCCCGCCCCTCGCACAGTGATTGCTGGACATGGGCACCGGCGACCCCCGTGACCCAAAATGGAATAAGCGGGTAAAGATAATGGATGGATGGATGGATATAATAATTTGAAAAACAAAAATGTGTTGGTTGTTTGTCTTTCCATGTTGATTTTTTTGGGGGGCTGGACTTTCAATAATCATCAAGAAGTTAAAAAAAAAAAATCTACCTTTATACTAAAAAAATAAAGGCCTAAATACAAGCAATCAACTCTAGTGACAGGCCAGACAAAAAGCGATTCCAAAGACTCAAATGGACAAAAAACAACAAGGAGCTCAGTGTCCTCCTGCCCAGATGTGGTCTACAGGGGACAAACTCTGGAGCCTGGCCTGGGGGAGGGATGCATAGGCATGCACCTGGTGAACAGGTGAGCCCCTGGGGCCTGGTCAGGCTCAGCCAGAATGAACAACATGGGTTTGCATTCCTGTGAGCCCAACACCTGTAGGACAGGCCATGTGAGTCGGGTGTATGACGCCATGGACAGAGGAAGAAGGCAGGGCCCCTTGGCGCTCTGATCATGGCTTACCAAAAAAGGCTCTTGGAACATGCAACATAACTTCTCTGATTGAGAAGGAGCATGAGCTTGTGCGTGAGGTTGAGAGGTACCAACTGGATATAGTTGGGCTCACCTTGACGTACAACATGGGCTCTGAAACAAATCTCCTTGAGAGGGCTAGACCTTTTTCCACTCTGGAGTTGCCCCTGGCAAGAGGTGCCAAGCTGGTGTGGGTCTACTTTTAGCCCCCCCCCCCCCCCCCCCCCCCCCCGACTTGGTGCCTGTGTGTTGGAGTTTTCCCCGGTAGATGAAAGAGTAGCTCCTCTGTGCCTCCGGGTGTGGGGATGGGTTCTGATGGTTGTTTGTGCCTATGTGCCTAACAGCAGCTCAGAGTTTCCAGCCTTCTTGGAGTCCTTAGTTGAGGTGCTGGAAGGTGCGGCAGCTGGGGACTCATTTTTTTCTGCTAGGGGACCTCAATACCCACATGGGTAATGACAGTATGGCCTGGAGGGGTGTGACTGAGGGAATCGAATGCTCTGATCTGAACCCAAACAGTGTTCTGTTGTTGGACTTCTGTGCCCTAAGATTACTTTTGTTGTGACTTGACGCTATAGAATAAACTGAATTGAATTGTTAGTCATCGCTTGTTCATCACAAACACCATGTTTGAACATAACAGTGTCCATAATTGCACTTGGCACCAGGACACCCTAGGTTGTAGTACAATGGTTGACTTTTTATTTGTGTCATCTGATTTGCAGCCATTTATTTTTGGACACTCTGGTGAAGAGAGGAGCTGAGCTTTCAACTGATCACCACCTGCTAGTGAGTTTGATCAGAAGGCGGGGGAAGAATCCAGACAGACCCGGTAGACCCCAACATGCAGTAAGGGTTTTGCTGGGAATGCCTGGCAGAAGAACCTGTCAAAAATATCTTCTACTCACACCTCCAGGAGAGCATTAACCACATCCCAACTGAGGCAGGGAGCACTGAGTATGAGTGGGGCCTGTTACATGCTCAATTGTTGAGGTGGCTGCCTTAAACTGTAGCCACAAGGTTGGTGCTTCTCGCATTGGCCATCTTCGAACTGTGTGGTGGACACCCCAGGCTATGGAGCCTGCCAAGCTGAAGAAGGAGTCCTAATGGGCCATGTTGGCTGTTGGGACTCCGGAGGCAGCTGAGAAGTACTGGAGGGCCAAGAGGTCTGTAGCCTTGGCTGTTGCTGATAAAAAAGCTCAGATATGGATTACACACCTTTGTAACATTGCATGGACATCGGGGGCAGTGCCACTAAATTGGAAAACTAAGGTGGTTCCTCTCTTCCAAAAGGGGGAGTGGAAGGTGTGCTCCAATTGTAGTGGCAAGACTCTCCTTAGTCCCCCACCAAACATTCACATACATAAAAGCCAGTTAGTAAAGTTATCTATCTAAAGAAATGGAGGGTCATTGCTATGAGCTATTCAGTCCTTATAAAATTGGTGTCAGAGTTTGTTTTGCATTATCGGCAATGTCAGACCCCATTGGGATGGGAGTTGGTTTCTGCCAGAGCTGCCTGTTGTTACATATTCTGTTCATAATTTTTATGGACAGAATTTCCTGGTGCAGCCAGAGGGTGGAGGGAGTCTGGTTCATTGGCCTCATGATTACATCTCTGGTATTTGTGGATAATGTGGTACTGTTGGCGTCATTGTGTCGCAATTTTTGGTTCTCACTGGAGTGGTTTGCAGCTGAGTGTGAAGTGACTAAGATGAGAATCAGCACCTCCAAATCTGAGGCCATGGTCCTCAAATGGTGGATTCCTCTCTTTGGGTCGAAGCTGAGGTTCTGTTTCAAATAGAGGAGTTAAAGGATTTTTTTTCATGAGTGAGGGAAGAATGGAGCATGACATTGACAGAGGAATTGGTGCGGCATCTGCAGTGTTGCCCCTTCTATGCTGGACCATTGTGGTAAAGAGGGAGCTGAGCTGTAAGGTGAATTCTACCCTCACTTATGGGCACAAGCTCTGGGTAGTGACTGAAAGAATGAGATTGCAGATACAGGTCCTTGAAATTAGTTTATTCCGCAGGGTAGCTGGACCCTTCCTTACAGATAGGGTGAGAAGTTCAGTTATCTGGGAGAGACTCGGAGTAAAACCGCCTCTCCTCCACATGAAAAGGAGCCAGTTGAGGTGGTTCGGGCATCTGGAAAGGATGCTTCCTGAACGCCTCCCTAGGAAGGTGCTTCCCATGTCTGACAGGGAGGAGACCCCAGGGAAGGCCCAGGACATGCTGGAGAGACTATTTCTCTCGGTTGGCCTGAAAACGCCTTGGAGTTCTCCCAGAAGAGCTGGAAGTGTTGACTGTGGAAAGAAATGTCTGGGCCTCCCTGCTCAAGCTGTTGCCCCCAAGACCTGACTTCGGAACAAGCGGAAGATGATGGATGGATGGATGGATGGATGGATGGATGGATGGATGATGTAACACTAACCCTAACCCTAGTCCAGCTCACCTCAGCCACCTGAGGAAGTAGTTCTACAGTCCAAAATAATAATAATAATAATAATAATAATAATAATAATAACACACAAATGGAGCAAGCTTCTAAAACAATGCTCCTGCTGCCATCTGCTAGACTAGCTTGCAACTATTTTCACATCACTGTCAAATACTGCTTTTTTCTAATAATCTCAACATGAATGCTACAGAATTCAGTGCAATTTAAAAATTATGCATGTGCTAAAAGAAAAGTTAGACTTTTAAAACAGACATTTTATATACATACTCTCAAAATAACCGAATGTGGAAATCTTGCGTCTCCACTCCCTATGTTCTCCTGCATTATCACAAAGCTGCTTGCCTAATTATCCCATCTTCTTTTTTTTTTTTTCAACTTTCCATGCTTTTCTGCAAACACTAAGTTTATTTTTAGTCAGCCAAACTTTTCATGCGACAGTGTTGCTAAGTAACGGGTACTTGAATGACGTGGGCCAAGCCAGGAGATGCACGGCTGCAGAGCCAAGAGACACAGACAATGGTAACATCCATACTGCTGCTTTTATTTTTGAAGTTTAAGTTCTTCCTTCATCGCATGAAACCCCTCTCATACTCTTCTTTACCATGCACTCACTTTATATGTCCTGTTACTGTATGTGTCTGTACTGTGTCGCAGTATCTACTGCAGAGAGTGCAAGCAGACTGACTTATTGTTAAAAAAAAAAAAAAAGTCTTTATAACGAGAAGCCAGAGTGTGTACAGTGTGTGCATCAGAAGAATGCTTTGATACATGGCACAGTCATTACATATGTTGTGCTTACTGTCATATTTGCCTCGGAGCAAAATATTCTCACATAAATAAAGAAATAGTAAACATTCACCGAGGTAAAACAGGTTTTTCACTTCTACTGCGCTGCTTCTGATTTCTCAGTGCTTTTTTTCAAGTTCTTGAAGCTCATAAAGATCTTGAGAGCAATAGATCATATCAGCCTCAATATGATCTGTTGCAGTGAAATCCAAATTTGCCAACAGGGTTAATCTATTTTTATGACTCTCTCCCTTTTCTCTTGTCTACCTCTGTGGACCCGACTTTCTCCTCTGTGCCTCCTTTCTTGTATGCACCTTCCTCTCTTGTCCGGCTGCACCAACCACTTCCGCTAATAGGAAATGTCCAAGCGGGAGGACTTGCATGCCCAGCTGAGCCTAATTCAGCTGCCTGTAGACTCGGGGGTATGTACAGCACTGCAGCTCTGCTTTCCTTCTTTTTGTGTTACTGACTAACCACCCTCCCCCACTGACCTGAGCTTTCCCTCCTCACCTCTTCCCTCACCCTTCCCTAGAAAAGCTTTGCAGGAATCGACCCATCAACAGACATTTTCTCATTAATGACAGAATGATTAATAACATTCTGGAGTCATTTTGCATAGTTAATTTGACAACCTAATATTTTACCAGACAGTAACGTTGGTAGTAACAGCAAACCAAAACGAAGCTTAGCCACAAATGCCTTCAGGGCACGTCTCAACTTGATTGGAAAACAAACCATTTTCTAACTTGTCCTTGGTGGTATTAGGTTGTTCAGATTTACAGTAAATTAGCTGTTTTGTTTTCTTATTCAATTTTTTTTTCTTGTGCCAGTCCAATCCAAGTGAGTACTGAATGGGAGCTTTTCCAAGGCCTGGGTGGATGTTGTCCTCTCTAAGGTGTATAATGAGCCCAAAACATGAGCAGTTGCAAAAGTGAGCAAAAATCTGACCCTGATATGAAAATGTTCTGCAACTCTCTGGAAGCATTTTGACCAGACATACTTCATTTAACTAAGGGCACAAACAAACATATGCAAGCTAACCAAATTATTACTGACCTTCTGATAAAAAAAAAAAAAAAAAGTGCAAGTATGTTCAATAATACAGGTAAATAAATCACTAAAAAGTTTAATCGTGTCATCTGGACAGTGTCTTTTAGGGAGAAACGTTTCGTCTTTCATCCAAAAGACTTCATCAGTCTGAGTCCTGCCAACCCAGATCTGTCGTATTAAATAGCACCTTACTGACATGTTTCAAACCAGTCTGCTGTGGAGTTCCCAGAAAAAAAAAAAAAACTTAAACAAAGAAACTGTCCAGATGACACGATTTAACTTTTTTGTGACTATCTGAATTATTTTAACAGATTGGATTGATCATCACATGCACACCTGTGCATACAGTTGGCAGAGTAAAATTGTTGTTGTTAAACACAACCGGATTACCAATCCCATCTCAGTAACCATTTTTTTTGTTTTCAAAATTTATTTATAATTTAATTTGTTTCCGAAGGTGGATGATTGGCTCTCTATGTTTTCTGATTTATACTGTGTGACATTTGATGCTCATTTAAACAAGACATGGGGGAAAAGTCATTGCTTTGAAAGTCACAAGTAAGTCTCTAGACTTTTCATTCAAATTGCAAGTCAAGTCTCAGGTCCTCAGGTTTGAATTTGAGTCATAAGAAACACATTTGACCAAATGCATAATTTAATAACAAAGTCCAAATAGTTTCCAGGCATGATTGTTTCTTAAAAAGTGAACAGGGCATTGTGAAACAGACAGAGCATCAGAACAATCTGCACGTTTGTTTGTTCAGGCATCCATACAGCTCAATGAGGCCTAGAAGATACACACTTTACAAAGATAAACTTCATAAACTGTTTAGAAAACTGTTTTTTTAATGTGTTTTATTTTTTATTTTATGAAAATTGTATTGGCTGCTAAGCATGGGCACCAGCGATCCCTGTGACCCACAAAGAAAGAAGTGATTAAAGATAATTGATGGCTATTTAAAAGTTTCTTCTTGTGCTGTTCCTGCGTTTTGGCTGTACATTTTCAGTAGGGACACCTACTGTTCAGAAGGGGTACTGCAGAATTAAACTCTCGTGATATGATCATGATATAGAAAAATTACCGCAATTACTTAAACACAGATGTTGAGCCAGGGGTGTCCAGACTTTTTCAGCCTGCAACTCTTTTTAAAATGACCAAGTCAAAGTGATCTACTAACTATTTGACCCCGTTTACACGAGAACAACCTCTGTAAACATTGGTGTTTTTTAAGTGTTTATTGAGGGTAATAAACAGAAAATGAGAAGGTTTACATGAAAACACTGTAGTTTTCGTGTCAGTCGGGTTGCCAGATAAGAAATGATGAACTCTACTGTGGCTTTAAAATTATATATATATTTTTACCTAATCTGTCATATGTGCAGAGTAAAGATATTCTGATGAGGTGTGTGCTGTGTTTGTTGAACATGTGCACAGAAAAGGAGGGGGTAAATAAGACATTTTAAATTTATCTGGCAACCCTGATGCAGACTTAGCTGCATTCATCATGCATGAAGTGCCTGCATGACAGTTACGTCCAAACTGGTGAATACACCGACGTCTCTGTGGACCCTGGATTTTATTAGTTTTGTTCCTAAATGCTGAAAAAGGGTGAGCAGCATAAAAACACTCTGCTCTCTGACATTTATTATAATTGTTGTTACATTTATTATAGCAGTTGTTAGTGCAGAAAAACTTTGGACTGCAGCCGTCTGTAGTGCACATGTGCCACTTCACACTTGGCACATTTCACACCTCCGTGGGGGGTTCCCCTGAACATCTCCACTCTGAGACCTGGATTCAGAAACCTTCAGCTTCAGAGAGGATGAGGTTGTTGTTGTGTAAATGAACTTCCGAACGTTTCACGTCGTGTAAACGAGGCCTCAGACTGGCTGCCCTGTCTGTCAATCAAGAGACAAATTTCTTAGATGGATGAGAGGATGACATCTATTTTTCTAATGTCATGCCATCTACCCAGAATACCTTTGCGATCGACCACTTGGTATATCGCAGTCGACGTATTGAGCATCCCTGTGCTAAGCTAACACATTACTAAGGCCTAGCTGTTGTTTTTTATTATAAAGGCTTCATTCATTCATTTTATAATTATCAGAAGTGTACATGTTTACATACACTCAATGTTGTGTGCATGTTTAAGTTGGGGCTTTGAAAAGGCCTTTACAGAAGTCAACTTTATTCAGAAACCGGTTCGTATGTGTGTTTGAGATCATTATGTTGGAACGTGCAATTAAGTCAAAGTTTCAACTGTCGATCTGTAAATTTAGTATCAATGGCATTATTAAAAAATAAAATAAAATCCTCAACATAATGGTACCACCACCATGCTTGACAGTTGGGCCGGTGTTCTTAGGTTTGAAAGCCCCACTTTTACTCCTGCCCACATGCTTGCTGTCACTGAGTCCAAACGGCTCAGTCTTTGTTTCGTTTGCCCCAAAATATTTTCTCCAGATGCTCACAGGCAGCTGAAAAGTCCAGCTGAACTTAAAGGTTTTGTTCTGGGAGATGGAGCTTCTTTCTTGACTGGCTTGCTCTCGGTCCACAGTGATGTAAAACTGTCTTCACAGTGGACAAAGACTTTGGTATTCCAGCAGTTTTTAAAGCCAACTATTAGAATATATAAGTAAATGAATGTGTATATTAGAGCTGGTATGTATGATTTTAGCAATGTGCAGATAAATTAAAATCCATAATCAATTCTGCAAATTCCTGTATTTGAAAATCATTGAACGTGAGTGTTGTGTTCCACTCTGGCAACAGAACAATTCTCATCGATCACTGTAAAACCTAAATAATTCAACATTTTCCCCCAATGATGAGCGCATGTAAACCTCTCAGTGCTGTGTTTCTGTTTCATTTGAGCTCAATAAACCTTTATAAACAGCAGCAGTGTATTAATTACAGTAGAACGGGGCTTGTCCATCTCTGGGTTGAAGTCCCACAAGTTAACAAAAGTAAGAAGCACATTTATGTGGCTGACGGAGAATGTATCTCATCATCTGCAAGTCCTCTCACCTGCCTCCTTCATGATTCCTGAGACTAACTAAAGTACTGAGCTCCCCTGTGCATGGAGGAGATAACAGTCCTTGACACTTGCTGTGTGACGGCTTTGTCATCTTTTATAACGAGGCTTCATTTCAAACCTCATAAAGTCTGCTCAGCCCCAAGCAGAGCTCCATCCATCACATTATTCTTAGCAGCTTCTACGTTCGCATCGCCAATTATCATCCGCTTAGATTCTTTCTTTTTTGTTGTTGTTTGCATCTGACTTAAAATGAAGTGAAAAAGCAAAAACAAGAAGTACAGTCGCTTAAAATTAAAACAACAATTGGAAATTTCACCCTTAACACTGACAAATGATGCAACATGATCTATTCTAATGCATGTCTTCCAGAGCTGTGAACTTTCATGTGTTAGTAAAAAATCTGGCTGCTCACTAATGACAAGTCAAAGCACGACGGAGATTCTGAGTAGAGCCTGCTGGACTAATGCAGATATCCCAGCTGCTGTTAGAAGTTTATGTTTCTCCAATTACCTCCTGGAAATGTATAAATGTTAACTGTCTCCAGTGTACGAACTAGTCATCGTTTGAAACCAAATACAAAGTACATAATAAATAAATAAAAAATGCTGTTATTACAAATCTAAATCTGTAGAATGTTTCTTTATATGAACATTTATTTGATGACAGGAAAAGTTAAAAGCAACTTTTTTTTTACATTTTCAACTCCTCTGTAAAGAAGGAAGGTTAGCATGATGGTAGTGTATGTTTCTACAAAATGTCAATATACACCATTGTATCAACAGGTACCATATTTTCCGCTGTAAACGTTGCACCGCCCTATAAGTCGCATCAGTCCAAATATGTCTAATAAAGTGGAAAAATCCATAAATATGTCGCTTTGCCGTATATGTTACATTTATTATGTGTCACCGCTGCCGCGTCATGTTTGTTACGCATCACTGCTGACAACCTGGAAATGTGGGCCAGTGTTGTGCCAAAAATCGATGGGCTGTCAAATGGCGGCTGCGGGAGCATGCACGGGAGGACTTTAACAAGAATTTAACAAGATTAACACTTAAAAATAATTATTTGTTTGGTCGAAATTATAGCAAAGGTGTGTCTCAGTCTAACTTTTCCTTAATAAACGCACTTTGACTGTCAAATCAACTGCATTTTCAAAAGCCGATACGTAGAAACATGAACGCGCAGAGGGCAACTCGTTGTTCATTTCTTCTAAATTTGACAAGCTATCCACCTAAAACAATTATTTGTTAGCTCAATTTTATTGTAAAGGTATGTCTCAGTTGAACTTTTACTTAATAAATGCAATTCAATGGTCAAATTAGCTACAT